CAATACAGTATCCGGATAATTACAAGTGTTTTTACTAAGGGTATTTTCTTATTGTCTTCTTTTTTGTTAAATGAATCACTCACAGAATTGTTTGTAAAATAACCTTACTCTAATTTTTATGTGGAAAAAATACTTTTGAAAGAACAAAAACAAGTTCAATTTTCTATTAGCAGTTTTGCTTAAATCAATGTGTATTTGTATTTTACCTTGGGAAAGTTTACATATACACATGTGTATTTTGGGTTCTTATATTTTATCTTTATTTGCAAAATAGACAAATGGTAATAATCTTTAATGCCACTGAGAGTTAAATACACATACACACAGAGATGCAGAATTCTTTTGCAATCAGAACAGGCCTTTACCTTTTCCTTTTAGAACTTTGTTTTAATATTCATAAATAGGGATCAATAAATGAGACAATTCACATTTAAAAATAAAGGTAGTTACTATTCTTACAACAATCAAACAAGACAAAATTCTTCCAAAAAGTGCTTCAATAATCTTTTATAAATTCAACCCATTAAACTATTCTTTAAAGTAGCCAATTTATCTTAAAATATAAAATGAAAAACCATGCTAATTTGCTTAAATAAAAATATCTAAATGAGAGATAATTTAAACCAATAAAACTGAGGCAGCAGTGTGCAAAAACTAAGACCTGTTAATAAAAAAAAAAACTGTCTTAGTAACATTAGATTCTACTTTTAAAAACTCAAGTATGTGAGAAAAAAACTCTCAGCCAACCAAAAAGAAAATTAACTCTTTGGTACCAGAATTTAAAATGTCACTCAATGCTAAAGTGAGCAGCACCAGGATATTCTAGTTTTTGAGGTTGTAAAACACTAACTTCAGGCACCAGAAGGTTAAAATATCTTCCAATGCACACTGGTAAGAACACAGAGCTTTGCATTACGCAGACAAGCTTTCCTTTTAGTGTACAGCCAACTCAGCTAAACCCTGTACTTAAATGGCAGGCAAAAGCCACAAAAGGAAACATACCTTTTGTTCTTATTCTGTCCATATTTTTGTTAATATATAAAGCTATCAATACCAAAAAGATCAGAGTGTTGAACTGTAAGCATTATATTACAGGTTACAGGTATTCAGGACACCAAAAGACATGGAAATCTTCAAGGAAACAGTACTCCAAAATAGTCCAAAAGTTAATGTTAACTCATCTTTTCTATACAAATAGATTTTTTCCTTTAGTGACAATACTTGCTATAATATGAAACACAGTCTTTCTTTGCACTAGGAGATATAAAAAACTGTCTCAGAGTTTTCAAACTTTGGACAACCTATCCATTTCTCCTTGGCATTAAATAGCTACACCCTTCACATTATTCTTAGCACTTCAAATTAGAATGCTCCACAACTACAATATTTAAATTTTAAAATAATTTCCCAAAGGCATCTGACCAGCTTAAAAAAAACTGGCAACACAAATTCCTTGAATAAAGTAACTCAACCAAATGCTTACATGCATTAACAACTTTTACAGTAGAATGGTACAAACAAGAGACGAGGCTTAAACATTAGGAAGCTTTTCTGGTATAACAGAAAACCTTCCAGTCTACCTTGTTTTGCTAAAATGCTATGTTACTCGTACTCTATTTCGTACTCTGTTTAGCTTTCTCTTCACCTTAGTAAGATTCCCTATTCTCTTTATCTTTATTTTTTTTTTATATGAGGATGCTTCTCATTTCAACCTGATCTCTATGGTGGGCAAGAGGAAAAGAACGTAACAATTGCAAAAGTTATAGTAATAATGAGAAACACTGGCAATAGCAATAACATACAGATTTTAAATAATGTTTTGTTATTTCTGCTTTAAATGAGCACTGGTAGACAGATTTGCAAAATCTGAAGAAGAAATATGCAGCAAAAATTCTGTTAAAATTGAACAAAAATAATGAAACAGTACAAAAAAATGAAACAGTATGTCTGAGACAGTTAACTACTTTCCTGAAGTTAAATCACCATCAAAGATACAAAAATGCTAATACTGTGTGATATTTAGAAGAACAACATTGGTTCAAAAATACCTTAAGCAAATTGATTCTATTACTTTCCTACATTTTACTGAAGGACACTCTAGAAGTCAATCAAGAAAGACTAAAAGAGAATAATGAAATCAGTGATTTACAGGAAATTTCAAAGGGCTATAACAGAAAATATATGTGGGCTTTAAAAAATGTACTCTCTCTGGGCTAGAGCGATAGCACAGCGGGTAGGGCGTTTGCCTTGTACGTAGCTGACCCGGGTTCCATTCCCAGCATCCCATATGGTCCCCCTGGCACCACCAGGAGTGACTCCTGAGTGCAGAGCCAGGAGTAACCCCATGTGCATCACCAGGTATGATCCCAAAAGCAAAAAATTTAAAAAAATTTTAAAAAGTACTCTCTCATAAATTAAATATGTGGTTAATAATACTAACAAGTTAAAACACACTAAATATATCTAACCCACTACAACACTTGCAAATACTTAAGTTTTTAAAAGGAATGCTAGCAGGGCTGGACAGCTCAACAGCTAAGTATGTGCAAAGCATGCTTTGCATGTGGGAGGCCCAGGTTCGATCCAAAGCACCACATGGTCCCCTGAGCACTGCTAGGAGAGATCCTGAGCAGAGAGCCAGGAGCAGCCCCTGAGCACCACCAGGTCTGGTCCTCCCCAAAGAAAATAATAATAATAGAGCAATGATATTGGAATGAACAAAAAAAGTCTTATTCCTTGTACTATTAATAATTTTGTATGTGTAAACTTTACCGAAAAAATTCTAGAAACATCTATGTATACTGAAGGTCATGTCAAGCTTTAATAAAGAAACTAGGTCAATAAACTTGAGCTACGTAATATATTCACACATGAAGCACAGGGAAGTAGAGAACAAAGTTCAAAGAGATTAACATAGTCATCTTAATGACTACTGATGTCCTTGTGAACTGGGGATAAAGACAATGAAACTCCAAAGCAAGACATATAAAAACACTTGAATAGGCCCTGATCTAACACACAGAAAACTGAGTATAGTCTCAACTAACTTCTTAAACTGTGGGTCAAAAGCCCAGTGGACTTATATAACTGAATGTGAGGGTTGAGAAAATTAAAAATTTGTTTTAAAACTAATTTATTTATTATAGTAAATCTTTGATTTGTATAGCCAGTTTATAAATCTATATACCTAGGTTTACATAAATTTTTTCAAGCAAAATGGGTTGCAAGTAGAAACAGTTTAAGTGGTATGGCCTAAATTACTTTATGATCCCATTTGAAAGTATTGTCCAAACATAAGTTTTCAGGATTATCCATTCAGAATTAATATAGCCTTTTGAGTAAAACATTCATCTTGTGTATATGTTAGCTAATTACTTGTGTGGAAGTGAATTGAAAAACTCTAATAAAGAATAGTTAAAATTAGCTGCTATTCTTGGACAATATCATTAAGCACTAGAAGAAATTCACTGAAAATTACGTTCGAAAAAGTGTTGTCAATTATTAAGCTATACTCTAGGCTTATAGTTCTCTACTATTACTATTATAGGTATATAATGCTTTCTTTTGTTCAAAGAGGTTAATACATTAATGATAATTTTTAATATAACTACTGCCTGTGTTAATCACAAATATTTTTAGTACAACTCTTAAGTGAAATATTGATTTTTTTTACTATGGAATAGCACTTAATGTAAATAAACTGTTTAATGGTTACAAAAAACAAAAGTTCTTTAACTGAATGTCTACTGTCTGAAGGATTCTGAATTCTGTCAATTTTTGCCTGTAATCATTAGCTTATAAACAGTTTTGTTCACAAAAAAAAAAAAAGAATATACCTATTCAAGATGTAGAAGTTACAAATTTCTAAGTGAAAATTTTTAACTTCCAGGGGCTGGGGAGATAGCGGGGAAGAGCTGGCGCACAAACTTTGCATGCAGGAGACATTCACGCTCCCCTAAACACCTCCAGGCTTCCCAGACACAGAGCCAGGTATAGCCCTTAAACACTGCTAGATGCCGTTCCCCATGTCCCCCACCCCCCTACGCCCACCAAATAACTCTCACTTCAAGAAGCCCAATAAACGACTGATGTAAAACATCCTTGAACCTAAAATTTGCTCATAATAAAAATGGAATATTTACAAAGAAACACTTCATCCAATATGAAGTTCGTATCGGAACTCTCATTGCTCAGACTTATTTGCTAATACCCAACATCAGTTACCCAGAATACATAATAAACTGGATGCTAAAGCTACAGCTATAACCCTGTCTAGGAAAATTTAAAAAAGAAAAAGCCGTGGGAAGAATTTTTACTCCCTAATTTATTATTATTTTAATGCAATAATCAGTTTTTAAAACTGAGAATTATAAAACTAAGTTATTTGGGGGGATATACAAGAAAGAGGTTAATGTGCTTACCATTATAACTACAAAGCATTTTTCTGAATTTTAATAAGTGGGCAATTTTAATGTAGTATCTTTTCTAATTTATAGAGCTTAATCTTTCAAAATAAGTTTTGAAATAAAATTCAAACTATGGTTTACATTTGCTACCCTTCCATGATATAAATTTATACTCAATACTAAAAACAGTACGAATAGCTACAAAGTATAGTGATTATATTTGCATGAATCTGACAATGACACAGAAAAAAGAAAGCATCAATTTTCAAAAAGTTTACACTTTTTCATATTTTCTTTGTACCTCGGACACAACTCAGAATTTAGTTATACAATAGTTATACAATATACAATTTCGTATAACTAAATTCTGGGGAAGTAAATCTCTAAAATCACTATAATTGCATCAATTAGCCAAAAGAGGGCGTAGAGGGAACACTAGTTTATGCATCCCTAGGAAACTACCAGTTGATTTCTCTCAAGTTGTCTAACAAGAAATCCGAAACCCAGATAAGCTAACTGGGGAACACTGAAAATCATAGCACAAGTTAATGGAGACTCTTATATAAGTATGTTGATAGGCAGCAGTTCTGCCATTCAAACAAATTAAATGCATTATCTAGCGTAATGTTTATACCCTAGTAATTTAGAGGAATCAGGTACACAGGGATCAGTTTGCGGTTGGGTAAAGAAAAAGGGGCAAAGAAAATGTGCCCTGAAAGCAGCAAATTCAAGGAACAGAAAAACCAAAGTCCTCAAAGAGGGAAAGGGACAACTTCTGGCTTTCATCGCTGAAGCAGAGGTTAATACTGAGTACTTTCCTAGTACTTTTTAAGGTACTAATGACTATGATACAAAATATAAACTTGCCCATAATGTTCCTTACGGGGTCTTTTTCACTTGGCTCTGATATTGTGCCAAGTTCTTCATCTGAAAGGAATGCAAACATCATAAGGCATTCAACTGATCTATCTACAGTATCTACATATTACTTCCCCATAGCATTTCTGACACAAGGCCCCATTTAGCCCGCATTAGCTCACACTAAACCCAACCCATAACCTGACACAAACATACTAATTTTCTGGTTCCTTAAGCTTTATAAACAGATTTCTTGTATTAAACTTACTATGCATCTTATCAGCACCAATAAATATCTTCATCTGCTACATCTAAATAGATTTTATTTGGGGAAGGGAGGATCGGGGGAGTCAGGGATTAGAACCCTGGACTTCATATATGCAAAGCATGCGCTCTCTCACCGAACTACAGCCCTGAACCTAAGCTTTTAAATAATAAAGTGTTCTGACCAAACATGAAAACATAGTACTTATGTCTCTAAGAGATCAATTATTTTAAAAGATATTTACAACTTCTGAAAGCACTAATCACAGTATTATTAACTGGTTGACAATGGTAACCATCCATTTCATGATTTCACAGGTATAAGTCAAAATTAACTAAAAGAATAACACTAATATGCTCAAGATAGCAGACCTCTTCAGCCTTCCTCTCAAGGGAAACTAGTATATATTTTTTTCAAAGACCAATACATTTTAGTATTCTAATGGAAAAATACGTAAAAGCTGAATTATTTTCAAAGCATGCTACATGTCTTTTCACACAAATGGTCTATGCTTTCCAAGAGACCGTCACTATTAGCAATTTAATCTGTATAAGGCAAGTGATAAATATATCAGTATATTTTCTATTTCAAGATCATTTCCTAACATTAGCTCATAGCAAATAAATCGATCAAACTAAATTATAGTTGGCCAACTCCAATTTAATTTCAATTTCGATGATTACAAGAATACAAAAGTTGCTTACTTTTACTAGTAATCCTTATAAATAAAATTTAAATATAATTGGCCAATATTTGCTATATATAAACCTTCATTGTATAATTTTTGACCTACTAATAGGTAAATAAAAGTGAAAGTATATATATTTTTCAAAAGCACAATACTCCTCTTTATACTGTACATTATATTCTATCTAGTTATACTAGCACTTTTAAAACATATGCGTTCTAATATAACTGCACTAGAAAAGATATCTATGTATTATTGCAAATTCTCTGCCCTTCTTATTCATCAAAATCTTAGGATAAAATAGGTATACATGCCCACTGGTCACAATTTTCTCCTTGAAGTCTATAACTTAACAATGATCACTTGTATCAATGTTGTAGCAGTAGGAGAAAAAGAGCTAATGGGAAAAATTAATTGTTCCTTTAAAATAAGGTAGGTAGTTGGTATTTTAATTTTGTTTTCATTGAAGAGGAATGAAGAACTAGTAGAAAGCTACTTTTAATAAAACACTGTCCTTTTTGTTATTATTTTTGTTCTTCAATTCTATGCTGCATTTAAAAAATCTTGCAGCACATATGAAAGCAAGTGTTATATACTTTCAAGTTGCAACTCAGAAAAGAAAAATCTATATTTAAGGTATGTAAACTTCTGTAGAAACTTAAAAATTAATTTAGATTTGGTTAGCACTACTTAAGAGTGAAAAAATTAAATGAACATCTTAAATTTCCCACAAATTGAAATCTGTAATATTGTCAGTACTAAAAGAAATTATGTACAATTATTTTATCCCAATCACTGCCTTTTGAATTTAATAACAAAAGCATTTAAAAAAAATCCCCGTGGAAACCTAATTTGAAAGTAAACATGCTTTAAAACTTAAATATAGATCTTGTATTAGTCCCACAACAGGATCAAGATCACTATTAAAATAAAGCCTGGGGCACATTATGATGTCTAAGATTGGTGGGTGGATTTTAATTGACTTGAAGACTGTCATAGTTCTATTATCAGAAAACCTGTAACGCATTTCCAGCATGGAGGACCCATCTGTGCCCACCATCCATCTGTTTAGACATGATTGGCAAAGTGGTAGGGAACTCGCAGTGGTTGCCTCTGCCTGAAAGGAATAAACCACAGGATCTTCCAACGAGTGCCAAAAACTTCTGAGAAGGTCTGCTGCCATGGCTTTCGGGGCCTCGATCTACAGAAGACAGCATTATTAGTGAGAGACAGCACTCCCATGGTGTACTTCAGTCAGCTGAAACAATACATTTTGGCTGGGGATCCATTACTGGACTCTGATGAATTGTGTCCCAGCATCACAAATACAGCTTTGCTTTCATTATGGCACGCAGCTGAGTTTTAACTCTGGATAGCAGATATTGTATCTGTGTCGTCAATCAAGCAAGGCCAACATGTGAAGCAGAAGAGAATCTCGGGATTAACAGAATGTGTGTCAACTCCACAGTTGCAACCTCTTTTGATGGACTTTCAAGACAAATAATTTAACTTACTTTAGTCAGACAAGAAACAAGAATGATCAGTACTTATTTTGTCTGAAAACCCATCATGGCCTGAAGAACCCCTCTGTAAGCCTGACAATGCCTCCCTAGTTCAGACCCTAGATAAGGCACCAAGCAAAAATTACCAAATTGTCTCTCCGTTAGATACCCAAAGGTTCAAATGTGGCCAGTTTTTTCATTTTAATATAAGAGCACTAAACACTTTTATACTTACATTTCTTCACAACAGTTTGACATCTTTTCAATAGATGTTGTATCCTATCAAAAATTAAAAATAAATACTTTGTAACAAAATTCTCAAGGTTTATTTCCATATTTGTGATAGTGTAAATCAAGTTCCCAGCTTCTTCTGAAGACTTAAACACAGAGTTTATATATGGCAACTGGAAAGTCTAAATTATCAATACAGATTGCTAAGACTCCCTTGGAGAGGGGGAAATGGAGCTACATAAAAAATGCCAATTTTTAAAAATACTTAATCTAAAAACTTTTAGCAGTCACCTCATTAAAATAGAACATTTCATTATGCTTACCTTTGCAAAAAGTTTGAAAGTCCACTTTATTTTTAATTACTTGACTATGCAATAAAAATTATGGAAAAGACAAATTAAAGACATAAAATTCTAAGACCCAAAGAATGCTGATGGTCATGGACTTCTGTACACAAGCCGCAATTAATTATTTGGCAGGATATACCCCCATATATATAAAACACTTCAATATCTACTACCCTAAAAAGTAAAGTTAAATGAAGTGTTCTTTATTAATAACTATTTACTTTTTGTTCAATAGAAAAACCAGTCATCACACACTCAACATTATGTATGTATACGTTTACAATGTATCAATTAGAAATGATTTTATTTCCATGTCTGAATTGCTTCAGTTCTATCAAATTGCCTCATAATATAATTGTTTTTCATAAAGGCTCTATTTGCACAAATATATAAGAGAAAAAAATTTAACAATCACAAGATAGCTTATAGACACACTGATTAGTATCACAGAAAATCTATCATTAAATTGAAAGAAACTGTGATTGATCTGACTCCAAGAAATAAACTTTCCAGTTCAGTCTAGGAAACATATTTGATCGTGCAAGAAAGTTTTAACTAGCAGAGATAAAACTGGAATGAGAAAATAAAACTAAGGAACAGAAAGAGAAAAGGAAGTATTTGTTATCTATGAGGAAAAAATGGGTGGAGGAGGGCAAAAAGCAAAAATTTAACAGACTCGTGCTTTGTTAACAGGTCTGAGAATCTAGGCCTTCGGCAGACTGATGGATCAACACATCCAGTTTTGAGTTCTTACTCACCAAGCACTCGGCCATATACACTGCTGTATGAGAAGGAAAAAATGTACTGAAAAGCGCTCTGGCACACCTGACAACTGTACATAAAGGAAGGGAAAGTGTGGTTTTGAAACATTTTCCACTTGAGGCCCCTTTTTACCTGAGAAATTCTTATGCAACTCCAGGTATGGAGGCATAAAAAATAGGTACATAAATCAAACATTTACATAAAATCATTAAAAAACCATTTTAAAACAAAATTTTAAGATTTTTCATAACCTCACAACTGGTTTTATAACCCCATAAAAGGTTATGATCCACAGCTAGGGTTCATCATCACTGCATTTATATGTCTACTGCATTTGAGTCTTGATTTAGCTGTTATTGACAATGGCCTGATCAACCCTGGGGTAAAGCAAGTCAAATATAACTTTTCTAGAGTTTCTAAGATCTGACCAACTGAAGACAAAAAAGGGTAAAGGTAAAGGTAAAGGCCCTCCCGTTGATTGTCGATTTGCTCGAGCGGGCCCAGTAACGTCTCCATTGGAGACTTTGTTGTTACTGTGTCTGGCATATCCAATACTCTCGGTAGCTTGCCGGGCTCTCCGAGAGGGGCGGAGGAATCGAACTCGGGTGGGCCATGTTGGCCGCTTGTAAGGCGAACGCCCTACCGCTGTGCTATCGCTCCAGCCCATTTCACTAATAAAAGATCCCTGAAGACTGTTCAATTTAATAATAATCATCAGATTGCCTGCACTCTTTATTTTTATCATATAGCGAGGCATACGTTCACATTCAATCCAATAACTGTTGATTTAATCTCGAGTAAAAACTACTGTTTGGGTAAATTTTCCACAACTAGATTATGCCTGTTTTATTTATCAAAATTTCTTTTATATCCGGTGCATGGAAGTTTGACATTCTAAGCACTTCAGATCAGGAGCCATGGCTCATTTTAACTCTGAGATACAGAGTAAGATAAAGCCCTGGTGGCTGTGAGCACTACTGGGTTGCCCTGGTAGCTCCCAGTGTTCCCAAGATGTATTTTATACTAAGCAAAGTGAGATTTTTCACATAGGAATATGTGAATATGTTAAAGAGAAATCCAATTTCATACTTCTGTATTTTTGTTTATTTATTTATTTTGGTTTTGGGTTAACACCTGGCAGTGTTCAAGGCTTTTTACCGTCTCTTTGCACAGGAAACACTTAATGGGTTTTGGGGATCGCATGGGGTGTCAAGGATCAAACCTGGGTCTACCACATGTAAGGACACCTTACCTGCTGTGTTATTTTTCCAGCTCCCCATCAAAGTTTTGAAGTTAGCAAGAAATTTAAGTATAATTTAGCATGCACATAAGCTAAATTCCTTGGCAAGAAGAGCCTAGTTTCTATGAAATTCACTACTATACTCAAGTTCAGAGAAGTATTATAGCCAATATTAGTGTATAATAAAGCACATAAAAGACATTATTTTAAATCTTAATGACCTCCATAGGGCTTAAATGCTGACAAGATATTTTATATAACACAACATAAATACTTAAAAGGAAATATATTTTGTCTTTATAAAAAACATAATTCAGAAAGGATACAATGCTGAAAAGCTTCCATTAAAAATATGAAGTGGGGGTGTAAATATATTGTCCAGCATGTAAGGTGCTTGCCATGCACATAGCTGACCCCAGTTCAATTCCTCCATGGAGTCCCTGAGCACTGCCAGGAATGATCCCTTAGCACAGAGCCACACTGAGTTCCTGAGCCCAGTCAGGTGTGGCCCAGTCACCACCCTCCCCACCTCCACCCCCCTCAAAAAAAAAAAAAAGAAAAAAAGTGTGAGTGAACTGGATTAATACTATATTTAGCAATGATGTTCATATTGGCAAAGCTGATTTAAGGTAAAGAAGGTCAAATATAATTTATATTGAGCTGAATGCTGCTGACACTGAATCGATAGGATATGAGAAAAAACATACTAAGGATTAACAATCTAAAGACTACATTTTGGGGTATGCATTAAAAACCAATTAAGTCCAATAACTGAATAATAAGAATGTTATTTAATAATAACATTTTAAAAGAATTTAACAAACTGAAAATATGATTTCTTTCACTGAATAAAATAACCAAGTTAAAATCAAATCATCTCTATATGAATTTGAACTCTTTATGAATTTGTTTTAACATCCATAAGGCAGTATTATAGAGGCAAAAACTTTCTTCTTTTAATTGGAAAAGCTTTGCTTTAAGCTATCTTATTCATTCATGTACAGTCCCAACAATAGCATCTATGGAGCTGATGCAAAAATCTTTGAGAATTTAAAGCTGCTCTGAAATACATCATTCCCCCCTATCTCTCAATCTCACCACAACTGAGAAAAGCACTAAGCTCCAGAGACACCATCAAAAGCTTACACTATTATACAAACTCCACGGTGTCCAGAAAACAAAAATGCTTGTATACAAATTTAGATAAACTGTCAAGAGCAGTGTCATGGTATACAATAGCTCACTGTCAGAACCTCACCAGAAGGCACTGTACCAGCTGTTACAACACTTCTTGATTAAGTCTCTCCAAGCTTACTCACTGAAAACATGACTAATACAATCAACCAGAACTATTAGTATTGGTGCTCATCAGAATGGACATCATTTTGCGCTATGTGCGAACTTCTGCACAATAAGAAATTCTTGACATCAATTACATTAATAACAACATCACTATCCATTTCATTCAGAAAGAAACAAACAAACCAAAAAAAGGCTTAGTAGACTACAGAATACTTAGAATAATCTGTTTCCCTAAATAACGAATGCTCTCCAAGCGAACTGCTTTGAAAACATTTTAATATTAATGCTAATAAAAATGCACCTATCACTTAAATCCTGTTTAAAAGTTAATCTAAAAATAATCAAATATGATCCTTATAAAAATGGGTCTTAGAATAGTTTATTCCACATAAACATCTGGTTGTTTCTCAAAACATCTCAATGCTGAGATCGCTTAACCATGAAAATGAGATTACAAATCCACTATTTTTAAGTTTAAGCAATTTCTAATTATTTTATTTGGGTCAGAGATAATCTGGTCTTGCTAGGTCTAAAACATCATCAGATTATCACTACCATGATTAATTACCCTGTTACCTCCTTGTAACAATAGGAACTTGAAATAGGAATTTTCCTTGAAAAAGTGATTTAAAATCATATGGGGCCTGCTCAAAATCTTCAACTAAACCTAAAAAGAAGTAACACTTGCTTCGCATGTTTGTTATCTACTAGGCCTATATTCAATCTGTGTAAATAACTCAATTGTATAATGAAATGATACTCCTGAAAGTAGTCTGCCAAAACGCTTCTTGGTCTTTGTGGTACGGGGATAAAGGAAAAAGGAAGACAGGGAAGAATGAAATTTACTATGATTTCTCTCCCCCTTTTTCACCTTCCTCTTATTATTTTCCCCTGACCAATCTATCATTTCTTTCACACTGAATAGACAGCCATGAATTTAAATTATGACATAATCTACTCCAGGTATGAAATTTCCTACAGGTAGTCGTTTTTTCCACAAAACGAAAAAGAAAGAATATCATATAAAGTAAAATATGTATTTTAATTTTTAAAATACAAGACAATTTAAATATTATTAGTTAATTAGAATAAAAAAATTCAATACCAATGCATGACAACTTTAAGCCTTAATTTTTTTTAATCCAGAAAGGGTGGTGTTGGTACAGAATTTAAGAGAGCCTAACAGAATATACTCTTTACTCTCTCCTCAATACTTGCATTATTTTTAAATGTCTCCACAAATGGATAGCAGTATTCTGAGGGTACTTATGTTTACAAAAGAGATCAAACTTTTGGAGAGCACATTATTTAACAAACATGGTTTCTACTCCGTTTTAGGAATATAACATAATACCATATCTTAATACAATGAAAAGTTCAATATTTAGCAAAAAAATAATGTTTAAAACATTATATTTAAAAACATTATGTTGGTAGCCTGTCATTGAATTGGTATGTAACCTCATATAATAAATCATTTGAAAAACAACAAATATGATAAATAACTTAAGTCTGATTCAAAACTGAAAGTTAAAATTTTTGAGGAGGGCTATTAAAAGATTTTGCATTAAAGTTTTGCTGCCAAATCCCTTTCTCTGAATCTACTAGAGCTGCTAGGTCAAAAGGAGATCATTACTTGTTCGGTATAAAATCAATGGCTTTTACAAATAACTTGAATTGTTAGGAGCAATATTCATAATGCTAATTTTACTTTCAGGGTTTAGGAGAAAATCTAAGAAATCTTGTCCCAGGGGATATACATATGTACCAAATATTTTGGTAAATTCAAAATGCAAGCATAGTCTGATAATTTTGACTTGACTTACAAACAAATGATACAATAATTAGCAACAATTACAGAAGCAGAAAAATGGGTTTTAGAAGAAAACCTATTTGTACTATTGGCATTATTATCAATATTATCTGACATAATTATCAGAGAAACCAGAAGAGATACAAGGTTTGCTAAGCTGAATAATAGAAAATGTTTATTTTAAACATTTTTGTTTGTGGGCCATGCATGTGGTACTTGGGGATGGTACTCCTAGGTCAGTGCTCAGGATGGTTCCCTGCAATGCTCAGTGTCTAAACCCAGGGCTTCTACATGCAAACAAAGCATGCACTCCAGCTCTTTAAGGTATTTCCCCGTAGACACACTTAGACACTTAAATAAAAACTAATATTAGCTTTTTGTTACTTATGACTTTATTATGATATCATTCATAAATATATAATTCATATTTTGGGGGGAAGGAAGCACAACCCAGGGGTGCTCAGGGCTTACTCCTAGGTCCGTGCTCAGGGATCATATCTGGCAGGCTTAGGGGACCATATCGACCGCTGGGATCAAGCTCACGGTTGCTGCATGCAAGGCAAGCACCTGAACTGCTATGCTATAAATCCAGTCCCAATTCACAAATTTATGTGTGCATACCCATAGACACATTCAAAGTGAAGGGTTAGATAAATTAGTAGCATATTAACAGAGCTTTTATCTATATAATAAATTATGGATATGTTCATCACCTCACATAAGAAGTCATTTAATACCTTTGACTATTATCACCTGCTTCCAAACTGGTAATTAAGCACTGTGAACTTTTTTTTTTTTTGGTCCACATCTGACAATGCTCAGGGGTTACTCCTGGCTCTGCACTCAAGAATTACTCTGGTGGAGCTTGGGGAAACATATGAGATGCAGGGGATTGAACCATGTCGGCCACACGCAAGGCAAACTCCGTATCCGCTGTACTGTCCCTACAGCCCCAGCACCGTAAACTTTTTATCTCTAAACACTAGCATACCTACCATGCTGCAGCATGTGTCAGCACTTCAGTTCTTTGTATGGTCAAGTAAGATGCCCGTTATTAACAGATATAACATATTGCATGTATCTATTAACAATTGATGAACAAGTTTGACTGCACTCAGTTTGGGGCTGTAATGCATTATGGTACCATAAATATCTATGTGCAAAGTTTTGTGTAGAGGCAAGTTTTTGGAGAACAGCCAGAATGCTTTATAAAAGAGCTGCACCATTTTTCATTCCCTTTAACAGTGCATAATGAATGTTGTGATTTATTGTTTGTTATAGTCTGTGTTTTTTATTAAGCTATCCAAGTGAGAATGAAGTGATACCTCATTATGATCTTGATTTGTATTTCCATAATAACTAACAATGTTCAGCGTCTTTCCAAGTACTAATTATCCACTTGTATCTCTTGTTTTTTGTTGCTATTGTTTTATTTTGCACTGTTGGGAACTGAACCCAGGCCCTCACAAAAGAATGACCAGAATAAAAAGAAAACTCACAGACTGGCAGAAAAAAAATTGCCAACCACTCACTGAATAAAGGGTTAATATACAAGATATATATAATACTTAGTAAAACTGAATAAAAAACAAAAACAATCGATTCCATCAAAAAATGGGGAAAAGAAATAAACAGAAACTTGCTTAAAGAAGACATACAGAAGGCCAAGGAAATATATGTAAAATGCTCCGCATCACTGGATTATCAGGGAAATGCAAATCAAAACAAGAATGAGATATCACCTCACATAACTGAGACTGGCACACATCACAAAGAAAAACAACAACAATAACAACAAAAACCAGTGCTGGTGAGGATGTGTGGAAAAAAAAAACCTTTCAACCACTGCTGCTGGGAATGTTAACTGGTTCCACATTTTTTGTGAACAATATGGACACTTGTCAAAAATGTAAGAACTGAGCTTCCACTTGACCCAGAAATACCACTTCTGGAATCAACCCCAAAAAGTCCAAAAACTCTACTTAGAAAAGGCATTTGTGCTCCTATGTTCACTGCAGCATTACTCACAATAACCAAAATCTAGAAACAACCTTTGACCATGTTTTAAAGAGAGCGTCTTTTTATTACTAAAGCTTTTTTTTTCTTTAGTGTTTGAAGATTTTGGGGTTTATTTTGGATTTTGCTGTGCCATGAAATAAAACCAGGATCTTACACAGCAAGGCAGGCACTCTAAACTAAGAAACATTCCTAATTTATAAGCTCTTTATATATTCTGGATTCAAGTCTCATATCAGCTGTAGGATTTGCAAATATTCTCTCCCATCCTGGGAGTTGTCTTTTGGCTTTCTTGATAAAAGTCCTGAAGCACAAAAATGCATAATTTAGTGGTGAGGTGACAGATCAATGAGCTGGAGAGCATTCTTTGCATGCTACAGGCCTGAGCTCAATCCTTGGCACCACACATTCCTATGAACATAGGGGCAACAAGAGCATGGCCAATTGTGGTCCCCAAATAACAAAAAAAATCACAGATTTTTAAGTCCAATGTACTTATTTTTAATTTGTCTGTGCTTTTATATTTATATCTAAGATACCCCTATATCATATACATATATATATATATCCTATGTCCAATATCTACTCCTTTGCTTTTTGTAAGCATCTTATCATTTTATATATTATATGTAGGACAATGATCTATATTGAATTAATTTATATATATAGTATGTAGTACTGGTCCAAATTTATTCTTTTGTTTGCTGTCATTTTTTTCTCCCAGGTGGAAAGATTATTCTATCCCTTAGTGAATAGTTTCATTGAAAAATGACTGTCCATGGGTCCAGGAGATAATATAGTGGTTAGGGTACATGCTAGGTGAACCTAGGTTTGATTCTTGGCATCACAAGTATCTCCTACACATAACCAGGTGCAGTTCTGGAGTTTCCTTGCACTGAGGGGGTGGCCCAGGTATCCCGGGCACCTCAGGCCTGAGCAACACTGCGTCCTCTCTCCCTTGCATTGAACTGACAGCCCATTTGTGTGACCCCAGAGCTCCCTGGGCACAGCCTGGGAGGTTCTCCTCCAAAATAAGAAAAATGAAAGGAAAAATCACTAATCGTTCATAGATATAAGTAATACTTGTAAATGCTCAACCCTAATTCATTTTATATGTCTATCTTTTTATATCAGTATCACATGTTTTTTGACAAATGTTGTTCTATAGTAATTCTTGACTATACTTTTTTCTTACTATATTTTTTTCTACTGAGTAGGGTAAAGGTAAAGGTAAAGGCCCTCCCGTTGTTCATCGATTTGCTCGAGCGGGCCCAGTAACGTCTCCATTGGAGATTTTGTTGTTACTGTGTTTGGCATATCGAATACATCACGGGTGGCTTGCCAGGCTCTGCTCAATATTCTACTGATTATATTCTGATAATACAATATACCTGTCCTACTATAAAAGCAGACTTGATGTGATAAATAATAATTTTGTAATGATAGGTCAAAGTAAGTGCACATTTATAATTTTTCATATACAATGATATTGACAACCTGTCCTTCAAAAAAGATTAAACCTGATAATTGGCACTTACAACCTACCAATCTGTTTACTCCACAATTATGCAATGCAGTGTATTTAAATTAAGGATTTATTATATATGCAGTGTACTTTTAAATTAAGTATCAAACTTTTAAGTCCAAATCAAAGTAAAGTGACATTTCTCACATCTTGATGTTTTTAAGGTCAAAATTCCACTTGGCTAATAGATATATGCAAAACCAATTTAATCACTAGTATTATAATGTTTCTACCAGCAACTCTATTTAGATGAATTTACCCTAAACAATTTAAATAGGAAAAGGAGATGCACAAAATGTTATTTTTAATATAGAGAAAATTATTGCTACTAGAGGCCTGATCAACAGGAACATGCTTAATTAAAAATTCAATGAACAAAGTACATGCATACATTAAAAGCTAAAGTGTAGTCATAAAAACACTTTATGTTAACACTTTATGCTAATTTTTAAAGCAGGAAATAAAACTATATATAAACTTTATACTCAGATTATAACTAATTTAAAATTAGACTGGCATATGAAAATGGGAATATATAAATAACTAAGAAGTAATTTTCTCCTTTAATTTCTAAACTTCCTGTAACTTTTTAAAATTACGTTTAGAGTTAGGGATTTATATTCATTTAAAAAAAGTATATTACTTTATATTACAAATATACTTACTGTGATGATGCCAATAAGTTGCGTATAAAAAAGTCCAGTGATTCCAATCAACATAGTGATGCCCATAAATGCAGCTAGTCGCATTATGGCCAACTCATGTCTAACAACGAAGAGGTCCTACAGAGAGAAAATGTAATGGTCTTTAGAACAACCCCAAGAGTTACTTATAGCTGTCACAATAATTGAAACTGTCTGATATGATAACCTCTAAATTATTTTAAAAGAACTACTCCGTAGCTAGACACAAGCTTTACTTGAGTCTTTACACACATGCTTTACTTAAGATGACTAAGTCTTACAGATACCCACGTGCTTTATTTAATACAAATGACTAAGTCTTACAGGTAGCATGACAATAAAACCCAAAACCCAAAGGTCACTGAACATATGCAATTGCTTGAAACAAAAGAACTTGTGCTCTTCTGTGTAGCACAGTGATTACCAAACTCAAACAAGTGTCTGACTGCACACCCCTAAATCACTCATTCAGTTGCCTAGAAAAATTCAGCAAGACAGTTAAGATGTTAGAGTGCAATCAAGTGTCACACTGTTATTCAGAACTTCAGCTAAAAAAAGGTCTGATTCAGAATCTGTATAAAACATGCAAAGATAGGGCAGTGAATGACATGTAAAAATTAAGTACAGTAAGTACTCTTATGCCATTTATAAACACAGTCTGTTCTAACATGATTGATGCATTAAGCAAAAAACTGAGCATAGCAATAATATTATGTGCACTTGCACATGATTTATTCTGCAAGAAACTCTAAAGTAATTAACACAGAAAACTGTATTTAGCTAAACCAAACTATATAGGAATACACAAATCACATAAGGAGCCATGGGACAAGATGGAGGAACTCTGCCACTGGGGGTTAGTTTGGAGTGGGAACATTGTATTCTTGAAGCTCTATTATGAACAGTTTTGTAGATCATTGTGATTAAATGAAAAATGTGGGGGCTGGAGCGATAGCACAGCGACAGGGCGTTTGTCTTGAACGCAGCTTACCCCGCCGGCCCGAGTTCAATTCCTCCACCCCTCTCGGAGAGCCCGGCAAGCTACCAAGAGTATCTCGCCTGCACGGCAAAGGCTGGCAAGCTATCCGTGCCATATTCGATATGCCAAACACAGTAACAAGAAGTCTCACACATGCTTTACTTACAGATACCCACATGCTTTATTTAATACAAATGACTAAGTCTTACAGGTAGCATGACAATAAAACCCAAAACCCAAAGGTCACTGAACATATGCAATTGCTTGAAACAAAAGAACTTGTGCTCTTCTGTGTAGCACAGTGATTACCAAACTCAAACAAGTGTCTGACTGCACACCCCTAAATCACTCATTCAGTTGCCTAGAAAAATGGAGACATTACTGGGGCCGCTCGAGCAAATCGATGAACAACGGGAGGACAGTGCTACAGTGTAGAAAAATGGGGAAGGGTGCCAACAGGGGTAAAAAAAACCACCCTGAAGAACATCTGAAATAGCACCGAACTACTGACATTGTTTTCTTATTAAAGATTTCTGATTCATCCTTCATTCATTCTGAATACTACCATTTTTCAAATGCATACTGCAAAAATCTCTTCTGAGTCAGGGTTTGATTGCTGGCAGCCTGTGCTCCACCAAGAGTGGGTCCTGAGTACAGGGCCGGAAGACCTGAGCACTGCTGGGTGTGGCCTCCCAAAACAGAACAAAAATCTCTGCTGAGTCTATACCTTTATACTGTCGTCATAAATTTTTTTTTTATTAACTGTGCATTCAGTGTTGTCCAACTCTACCAAATCTTCCTTTAGTGCTTTTTATAAGCTGTTTAAGAAGTAATTTCCAACTCTGAGGAATTGATATTCTCCGAAGTCTTTTCTAAAGCCTTTAAAATCTTTATAGTTTGCCATTTACATTTAAGTTTTTAATTCTGGAGTAGAGGCTTATTTTTTGTCCAAGTAAAACACAGGGGTCTGGATTTACTTTTACTAAATGAACTCCGACTGTTTCAAGATCGTTTATTTTAAAAGCTCAGTGGTCAGAAATTAAGTACACATCCATGTTTAAATCTGAGATGGGCTCTCTAGTCTGTTTCCCTGGTCTAATTATTTATCCTGATACCAGTCACACATCTTAGTATATACGGCTTTATACCTGGTACCAGGAAGGCCAAGTCATCCAATCTTGTTATAATTTTTCTTTTGTTTTTGGGTCAGAGGGCTTACTCCTGGCACAGTGCTCAGGACCACTCCTCGCAGGCTTGGGAGATCATATAGGGTTCAGGGGATCAAACCCAGGTCCACAGTGTGTAAGGCACCTTACATGCTGTTCTATCTCGTTAGACCCAATCATGTTTTTAAGAATGCCTGTGGTATTCTAGATTATTTTACTTTTTTTAAATTTTTTTTGCTTTTTGGGTGACACCCGGCGATTCTCAGGTATTTACTCCTGACTGCACTCAGAAATTACTCCTGGTGGTGCTCGGGAGACGATATGGGATGTTGGGAATCGAACCCGGGTCGGCCGCATGCCAAGCAAATGCCCTACCCACTGTGCTGTTGCTCCAGCTCCCTTAAAAAAAATTTTAAATTAGATGGGGTCAGAGAAAGTACTGTGGGTAAGGAGCTTTCTTTGTATGTGGCTGACCTGAGTTTAACCTGTGGAACCTCCATCTGGTTTCCCTGACCTCACCAGGAATGATCGCTGAGCATAGAGCAGGAGCAAGCCCTAAATACCACCCAGTTTAGCCCAAAACACAAAAAGTAAATAAATTAATTTTTCAATTTATAATACACAGTCACTCATACTATACATGCAACATAGTTTCCTCAGTATGACTCCCAATTCCCCCAGTCCCTAGCGGTCTTCCATTTTCTAGGTCAGATTTAATTCAGGAAATTCCAGGTTTTTAATTCTATTCTCAGTTCTGTAAATTGCTTGGCAATACATGTCACTGTCTGAAACCAAAATATTGGTTTTTACTCCAAATTATTGAAATTTTAAATTTTAAAATATTGCAAAATTTTAGAATTTTAAAATTTTAAATAATTTTTTTTAAATTTTCCAAAATATTCAAAATGGAAGAGAGAGTCTAGGGGCTTGGGAGCGTGACTTGCACATGGACCGATAGGTTTGATTCCCTATACCATATGGGGAGTCAAGCATGCCTCCTCCACAAAATTCAAAACAACCTATAAATCACACAACCATGTGCCGTAGCGGTAAGGACACCTCTATTTCTCTCAGCAGTTCTTGCTTCACTGCTTTGACTCCAGCACTGTGTCTAATAGCAATGGTTATACTGGGCACAGTGGGGTATCAGTGGTTTCTCCCCCAACTTGAAAGAGTTCACATGCAATTAGTTATCACACAATAGCTGTATTTCATTTGTTCTGGGAAAGTTAAAAAAAGTTTCCTGCATCTAAAGAAGGAATGAGTTCAAGCTTATTAAGAAACTGTAACATTATAATGTTCTTTGTAAGTACAATTTTGTTCTAATTTATTAATATCCTCCCGTTTTCATCGATTTGCTTGAGCGGGCCCAGTAACATCTCCATTTTTGAGACTTGTTGTTACTGTGTTTGGCATGCTCTCCGAGAGGGGCAGAGGAATCGAACCCGGCTCAGCCGGGATGACTGCGCACAAGGCAAACATCCTACCGCTGTGCTGTCGCTCCAGCATGTGGTAAACGAAAACAACTTTATGCTAGACTCAACTTGATCAGCAGGTTATATGTAAACAGATTTGTCTGTCTATATTTTTTAGGCAGTTATTTACCTTTGCAAATGTAAATTTGGAGCAATAGCACAGCGAGTAGGGCGTTCGCCTTACATGCGGCCAACATGGCCGACCCGAGTTCGATTCCTCCGCCCCTCTCGGAGAGCCCAGCAAGCTACCGAGAGTATTCGAGATGCCAGACACAGTAACAACAAAGTCTCCAATGGAGACGTTACTGGGCCCGCTCGAGCAAATCGACGATCAACGGGAGGGCCTTTACCTTTTACCTTTACCTATTTACCTTTGCAACCACACTGATCTATAAAGTTCATTCTTTCTCTTACTATCCTTGATAGTTTATATACTAAATACACACTGTATATATAGAATAATTGCAAAAGTACCCATTCCTTTTTAATTATTTTAAAGAGTTTATGGAGGGCTGAAATTACTGTTTTCCTTCATATTTTATAAAGCAAGGAGTCACTGGTAAATCTGTGGATATTCTTGGAGAAAAAAACTTTACTCACTCATGATTAAGTAATTAGTCATGTGTCTGACTTCTTCGGGAAATTTTTTTTCTAAAAGCTTTATTGCTTTTGAGACAAAAAACTCAGTATGATCATGCACTGCTTAACACATATTCTAACACATGTACAACCAAGGCTGTTTTGCCATAGTGTGAACATTACATCCTTAATTACACAAATCTAGACGGTACAGTCAACTATGCATCTAGGTGATTAGGTAGTCTATTAGGATTAAAGTATATCACTGACAGCAGTGAAATTTAGCCAGGTGTGACTAATGTAAAGGTGTCAACTCTCTAAGTTGCTACACATAATTCAAATAAAAATGATCTACGAGGGCCATCTCTAATTTATTGATGGGAGTTTTTATTTTACTTTGACTTGATTTGTAGACTACAAAGACTAGCATACCATCACTGTTTTGTTTTTTTTTTAAAAAAGAGCACCACAGTAAGAGGAGTTGTTCTAAGTGCATATTTTCAATAGGCTACTATCATCCCCAGAGGGGAAAAATACTGATTCCTGAAGAAGAAAAAAACCCAGCTCTTTCAATGGTTTGTGGCTATGTGCAAATCAATCCTACCTGACAAATTCCTATTGCTCAGTATTTCACTTATGGAGGAAAAGAGAAAAAAAACATTAATTTCTCCTTGAGGGGGAGGTAATAATAAAAAAAAAAAGTTGAGAAGCAGTTTTCTGTTGCATATCAAGATTTATTATAAAACCATAGTTATGAAGTGTGGCGCAAGCAAGAATAGATAGAGGGGCTAGAAAAGCAACGCAGGCAGATACATATACTGGGACCCTGGTTTGTGAGAATGGTGGAACTGCAGAGCAGAAGGGGAAGAATTATCTTCTAAATACAGAGCACTAAATCAA